GTTTCACTGTAAATCACTACTACTAATATATAACTTTTGATTTTTAAGTGGCACCCTAGGTATAGGCCCATATTGACATCAAAATCAAATTCTAAAACTAAGCATTTTAGGACATTTATGTGAACTTTTTTACATATTTTTATCTGTAGAATATTTTGTCGAGTTTTCCGGAATACAGTTCGGATCAGCCTTTATATTAACCTGGAAAGAATTCATACTCTACAGCTAACTATGTTTGAGGTTTCTTTCTAATTCTCACAATGGTTTCACTGAAATTCACTGACACAATGTCTTCTCAGATTTAAACGCTTTGGCTAAAACCAAAGGCAAAATAAAAAAACACTAAAACCATAGAGAAAGGCAAAACAAACTAATGAAAATGTATACCTATTTATGAAGGAAAAAGTTAAGAAAATTGAGAAGAAAAGTAAAATCGCAAAATGGCTATTAGTCATTCTTTAATGTTTGAAAATAAAAATGAACTAGAAAATAAATTAATTACGAGAAATATCTGCTGTTTTTTAATTTTATGTGAGTATCTATAAAATTACAAATTACTCTATTGCTGTGTTCGTCTCGCAAGAGCATACACAACGTACATTTTTTACGTAAAAAACCGCGAAAATGTATATTCTTTCTCTCAGTAGTGTAATACAGGTATAGACAAAGAGTAATTAATACTACTTTAAAAGAGTTTAAAAACATGTAGGTAACGCTCCCTACAAGTAGGAGTCATACCAAGTCATACTGACATCAAAATTAAAATTTTCACTCAAACACCAATTTCCATCCAAATATCGACTATAGATCAGAAATTATTTTGAAAAACCCGAAATAAAAATGAAACTTCGACACCCTGTAACTCCAAAACATAGCATTTTAGGACATACATTTCTATGAACTTTTTTCCATATTTTTATCTGCAGAACATGTTGCCAAAGTTTCACAATTAAAATTCCGACAACCCTGTATAATAATTGTTAGAACCTGTAACATCAAACTAATCGCCGGAGCAAGATTTTTATCTACCTACCCCACACTCAGAGTTAGTTAAAAGTTCAATATTATACAACTCGAAAAAAATGCACAATTACCTGCCATTTGAAATCAAATCCATAACATCATTTTCTTCATTTCGCAAAGCATTGAAATCTTATTTACTAGACAAGGCTTTTAACGCCGTAAATTACTTATATTTTGATAATCGAATTTGATCTTGTAAACACTGGTCTAATATTTGCTATTACTATATTTACTATAAACTTACTAAATATTTTTGAATCCTATTTTTATTTTTTTATTCTTTCACATTGTAAACATTTACAAATGTTTATTTTAAACAATAAGACTGACAATGTAATTTGTATACTTGTTTTGTATTCTCTTTTGTTTGTTTATTTTACCTTTGTCTACAAATTGTAACTTTTTTTGACAATAAAGGCATTTATTTACAATCAATAAATTACATAGAGAGTAATATAATCCTTACAAATTCTGCATAATATAAATTCAATCGATAATCCAGGAATATTTGTTACATTATTATAATTACCTTTAATTTTTAATGTTAGAGAGATGAGAGTTAGATGTTGATTTTTAGAGGTTTAACATAGTACTCTGTCATCAAAGTAAACATGTTACATTAATAAACTAAACTACATTGGAGGCTTGTATGCAACAGATAAACCCAACAGCGCTTAATTAGGAAAATTAACTAGAAAATATAATTAGCTTGCTATATTACAGCATGTAACAAAATAATTTATTTTATGTAATAAAATCTGATTAGCAGTTCTTAGCCCTGTGTTGTGCTCTTGTTAATATAATAAAAAAATATTGGACAATTTTATTAATACAGGGTGGTACAAACTGTATTCCGGTAACTTCGGCAGCATATTCTGCAGATAAAAATAAAAGTTCGTATAAATGTATGCCCTAAAATGCTTAGTTTCGGAGATTATATATTAGAGATAATTTTTTTCATTCTTCAACTTTTATTTTCTAATAATTTTTAAAATTTCATGCCTCTTTCGCGTTGTCTGTCGGCATTTTAGCGACTAGAAAAATATCTGCCAACAATTTTCCACCTTTCTTAAAAATAAATAAAAGCTATTTTCGCCATTATAACTCGTGTACCGTATAATATGTTCAGTGTCAAAATTTCACCCTTTCAATTGGCCGCCCCGCTTTAAGCCTTGATTGCGCTGGCAGACATGACTATTTCATAATGGCTACACAAAAGGATACTTCACACAAAAAATAGCCATGTAACGATGATAAGGTTTTTTTTATGTAGCCAGCTCTTAAACTATATTGTCTTTATTTATTTTGCTTACACAACGTTTCAGTCAGAAGTATCACTGACCGTTGTCAAGTGTAAACTAAACTAAATCCTAACCACTGAGCGAGGCATTCACCCGTGAAATAGTTATGTGCAGTTAAGCATGAGATCCACTAAGAATACTTGCACTGGAGCGTTTTATGAGTGGTGGCCATATTGTTGAAATTTCCATACTTGGATTGCTAAAGATTTTATTATTGTGAGAAATGAATCTCTTTAAATTTGCGCTTTTTCCAATGGGGTTCTTTGTGGACAACCCGGGCTTCCGACCATTTATGTTGTGGTGCTTGGACCACACATGATCTGCAATAAGAAACCACTATAAAGGATAGCTCAAACTAGTGATGGGCAAAACTGTTATTTTTAGATAACCGTTGAAACTGTTATAGTTATTTATAAAAAACAGCTTAAAATAACAGCTTAAAAATAACAGGTTTCTTTATTTTAGTGCTAAATATCTGAAAGAGTATGAGGCGGTCACCGCCAGGCGTATTAACGCAGTTGCAAGTTGCAACAATGACGTGCTCGGTGGTAGTATTTCCAGGGTGTCAAAACATTTATAAATATCGATTGTTATCTAAAATACCTCTCTAAAAATGGTGGTTGTTTACAAATAAGCGCTGTTTACAAATTGCGATATAAAAAAGCCAAAATTCCGCCACTCGTCTATACCTATGCATTCCCATCTACCTACGATCCGCGTAGATCCTGAATTGCGTAGCAGTGTACAGGGTGCATCTCACTCGACGGGCGAGAAGCTCTTAGTTATGATTTTACCATTTGCGGTAAAAAAATAGCAATATAAGAAAATGTGTAGTATATTCTTCATAAGTAAACCAACTACACACTAGAGTTCGAATTAATTTTACACTTAAACTAGCGTGTACCCGCGATTTCGTTCACGTCGAATTAATAATTTCTAATGGTGATGATAAAGCAAAACAAGAATTTCCATTAACATACAAACTGGATAAAATTTTCTCACATTTGCCAAAAATAAGCTTTAAACGTCGAGCAGTTTAAGCAGAATCGTGGTTAATCAATTACTCAACTTTTTGGAACACCCTGTATGATTTTTTAAAAAATTTCAAAATATGTAAAAAAACAAAATAAATTATGCGTGTCCAGGCGTTTTCCCGAAAGACTAACCATTTTTTAAATAACAAATATTGTAATATTTGAGGGGCGTTTTCACCCTGTTGGAATTTGAGATTCGAGACACCCCTCCTTATCGAACCTCAACCCCACAGTCAATCCGTTTGCCAAAAATCAGCTTTAAACGTCAAGCAGTTTAAGTAGAATAGTGATTACTCAATGGATATATTTCATGAAACGCCCTGTATATATTTTTAAAAAATCTTAAAATATGTAAAACAACATAATAAAATATACGTGTTTTAAGAGTTTTTCCGAAAAACTCACCGGTTTTTAAATAAAAAATATTCTAATATTTGAGGGTAGCTTCACCCCCTTAAAATTCGAGTTTCGAAAAATCCCTTCTTATCGAACCTCTACACCCTAAAGTCAATCCGTTTTCCAAAAATCAGCTTTTTACGTCAAGGGCTTTAAGCAGGATCGTGATTAATCAATGACCAGATTTTTCAACACACCCTGTATACATTTTTAAAAAATCTTAAAATATTATTCTGAAAATTTTTCAGAATAAATAAATACCTAAATATTGAAACTTAATAAGTAAGTACTGAAACATACAGCGCCATAATATCTCGACCTCCGCCTGTTATGCTCGTATCAGGTTGAAAAACAATATATCTAAAACAACTGATGCGTTATTCTCCAACCTGTTTCGAACCTCCATCGACAATCGACCGATGCAGCAGCATTCCTTTTCCACTCCGATTATCTCGACCGGCGCCCTGTTATGCTTGAAACAGGTTGAAAAACAACGTATCTAAAATGACTGCTTCTCCAACCCGTTGCGAGCCTCCATCGACAATCGACCGATGCAGCAGCGTTCCTTTCCCACTCCTGTTATCTCGACCGCCAGGCGTTATGCCCGCAACTGTTTCAAAAAACCTGCTTCTTTTATATCCTATTATTTTTAAGCTGTTGTAAGCCCAATACGACCATCCACGGCGTCGACCGAAGCAGCTACGTTCGCCGTAGCGCATTCCCCTCTCCGTTGTCCGTTGTCTTGCCGCCTGTATCGATGGTTGACGAAATAACATGTGTTCCATCCATACTAGTTGTTTTCTGGAATTGCTTCGAGCAGCATAGAATTTCGTGGCGGTGCAGAGCGCCGATTTCGTTTTTCGTTTCACGAGCGGCCGATCTCTACATGTCGTTATTTTATATCTGTTATTTTTTAGAAGTAGTAACGGTTGCGTTATGTTATTTATAAATAATTGTTATAAAATAACAGATAGTTAAATAACAACCCATCACTAGCTCAAACAAATGTATTTGATATTTCCTTGTATTAAAAAAATGTAACACATTCTGTGTTTTAAATAGTAGTTTTTCTATAGTTTACCAAATGGTTTCTATATCTACAGCGTTTTTTTTTGGAAATACAAAATGTTCGAAATATATTTTTTCTTTTGTTTCTTCTGTGGTCAATGTTTCTTTTGAGGTCAATAAGAAAAAAATAAATTAAAATTATTCAAAAATATTTAATTAGGGTTTTAATGAAGCTTACCTTGTACTATTTTTTCTTCGTATAAAAACAGCATTGGCAAGGAAAAAAGGGCACTGATTGCCCAGGCCAAAATAATTAAAATTCTAGCCCTTCTCCCTAAAACAAAGAAAAAAAGAGTTGTTGTGGAACAAAAACGTGTTAAACATCAATTAAAATCAAAGGATGGCAATTAAAATTTGTCTGTTGGTATTAATCTTTTTTTTAAGTTCGTTGTATACAATATAAAAATATATTTTTTTCAGATTGAGTTTTTTTTCAAGCGAATTGAATTTGAAATTTTTTTGAGCAATTTGAATGAGATTTTCTTTGAAATTATGTTTTGTAGATTAGATGATAATTAAATTCAAGTAGCACAAGTTAAAAATATATTATATTATACTTAAGTATTAATGTTTTCTTTTAATATTTTCAATGTAAATTAATAATAATACTCAATATTAAGTAACCTAGATTTAAATTTTACGATTATTGAAATAATGTACTTACAACTTCCTGAAAATTTCATTGGATGACGAATGGCATCGTATCTGTCAATACTCAGGGATACAAGTACATAAGTAGAAGCATAAGTGACCAATGCCTAGAAATTAAAATATAGTTAAAATACATGATATTTAATAATTTAAGATTTATTTCTGTTTACTCTTGATTTTATGAAGTTTATATGATATAAATATTTATTATCAATAATAAAATACCGTATGAGCGAAAAAAAAACGGCGTCTAGTTGATTCAGAAATGACGATCAATGATATTCCTCATATAATTTTACACATAAAATGACAGCGACCTTCATTTCATTGTAATCGCTGATGCCGGATTCGCCACACTGCAATATTTTTACAATTTCTTTATCATCGTAAATAAATTATGAAAAAGAATTTTTTAATATTGAGAAGTTAATTCAATTGATTTCATATTCGAAGAAAACTTTTAGTGTTTTATTTTGAATTAACAAAATTTTATAAAATAAGTTACTTTTAACGATTTTAGCAAAGTAAGTAAACCGACGAGTAGCGACAGTCCGGGTTTCAATTTTCTTTGCGGCTGCGCGAAATAGATAGTCTATCTGTCATATGAAGAAGCGAAGTTGACACTGTTGCCATTTATCAAATATCTCTATATACTCTATTTCAAGTATGCCTCAGGCAAAGAATCATTTTTAATTATCTATTAGCTGTAAGATATTTTATACATTTAAATTTAGAAATAGGGATAAACAAAACAAAAAGATATGTATAAAACTTTATAATTAATTCCACTTCAAATTATGAGCAGGTTATACCATGTTTATAGGACCACTTCATAATTTGCCCAAGTAACACAATAAATTATTATGAGCGTGAACTGTTTTATATATGATTTATTAAAGCAATCTCATACACTGAATTGTTATATAATAAACGCAAAGAACACAAATTTATCATAGAGACAAATGTGTTTTATTATTTTGTTATATAGATGTTTTGGCGACTAATTTATAAAACATTTTTATAAATATATTCGTTAATATGCTTAGGAACGTTTATATAACAAATCTTATACAACTATTTATGCTTGAGCTAGATATATTTTATAATTGATTTATAATATAATTTAAAACAACTATAAAATATTTACAAAACAGCTATAAAAATATGCATTTTAGTTTATTAAAACATTATCGACATGTTTTATAGCTGTTTTTACGACTGATTTATAAAACAATGTGATCTTCGCAATAATTTAGTCACTATAAATACACGATATTATAATTTTATTCTTGATAACTAAAAAACAAAAATGCAGATGCATGCTACAAAAATATTTTAACTGAGACAAATATGTTATTTTTAAAATATTTATAAATCTTTTATAAAACAGTTTTATAAATATTTTGTAACGTACTCAATATTATTTTGTAAGCGTTATCGGAGAGTTTTTAACGTACTTCTAAATAAATATATTGTTTTATAAACCAGCGCCTATTTCGTGTTTATAACTATCGTATTAGGGTTTATAAAGCACTTAAAAATAGTACATATTTATCATGAATTGTTATATAACACTCTATATAACTATTTTAAGCACATTTGTGCCACTTGGGTGACCAGTTATAAAATATAATAAAAAAAGGTATTAAAATATATAATAAAATATAATAATATATTATTTTAAAGAACGTAACTAACATAAATAAACATATCCTAAAAATTAAAAACAAATTAAAAAATAATCATACATAAAGTTTGAAGCTTTTTGGTTTTACCTTATTAAGTAATTGTTATCAGATAATAATTGAAGAGTGGAAATACCAAAGGGGGTAAGTGTCAAATTTTGCAATATTAACCCGTCAAAGGCGAAGTTTTTATTTTTAATTTTTTGCAATTGTTAAAATGTAATTTACGTTAATATAATCATAATTAAGACTGTTCTATGCAAAAAAAAAACAAAAAACTTACGCCATTTTGAAAAAAACTACTGTTACCATATGGTAACGCCAGTCCCTTAAATGTACATTTTATTCAAAATAGTAACTTATACAAAAATATTAAAGTTTTAAATGAAAACATACAATTTTAACAAAAATATTGATATTTTAACTAAAATGCTTGAAAATATTGAAAGAAAACATTTACTTGGTATGAAATATAGAAAAGCATGGGATACAAAGGCCCAAGTTGCATTTGTTGCACATAGTACGAATGCTTGAACAACAGCCTTCACCTGCGCATCTCTTTCTTTTCTTGTTTGGGGTTTCAACCACTAAATGGTTCATTCCATCATATCTAACCTCGTCTGAAATTCTATTGAGCGACAGACTGGTTTTTGAAGTTTTGGGTCGACCACCAGGCTTCGGAAGGGTTCCATAACTCTGTAAATAGCACGTTGTAATTTTCCTTCGAAATTCAAGTTGCGTCAGCGGTCCACCAGACTTTTTGTGAATCTACCAGGCGTTAGTTTGGTTGCGAATAGGTCACCACCATTTCTTGCTGCGAATACCTATTCTGTATCTTGACACGTTTTCGTCCATGAGATCTGTACCTCCCATGTGTGCGTTATATTCACCAATTAAAAATGGACGAGGTATCATAAGAATTCTTTTTTGGGCAGAACTATATCGTTTTACTTGTGATACAGGTAAAATACCGTGACAGGTTGAAGCGACACTAACAACGTTGTTGTCAACCCAACGAACTACCATAATGCCTGATTCTTTTTCAATAGTCCCCTCGTATGTCCCTCTTTCTTTTTTTGCCAGAGATTTTTTGTCTGACATCGGACAATTTTTGGGTATGCGGTTTTCTCGAACGGTATCGGTACCCTGATAGCCCCTTTCTTTTAGATGTTTTAAAAGATTTAAACCAGTAAAGAGGTTATCAAAGTACAGTTCATATGGTCTCTCCTTTTTCCCTTTTAACTGGTCCAACATTGAAACAAATGGTGCAGCAGCTTTTCCAAAATCCTTTTCGTATACTTCTTGTAAACTATTTTTTCCCTGATACGATTCGCAGTTTACTAAATATCCCGATGTTGTATTCAGTGCCCACATTTTGTACCCAAATCTAATGGGTTTACCACGAATGAATTGCTTACATGGATGTCCACCATAGTACTTTATCATACTTTCATCATAACTCATATGCTTTTCTGGCTGATAATGTTGCAAATATTTAGCTTTCAGTTTCTCTCTAAAGGGTCTAAGTTTCCACGCTTTGTCGTCCAAATTTGGTTTGGAGTTATCGGCGCAATGAAGAAAACGCATGATTTGAACAAAACGGCCCCGTCTCATGGCACCACTCATCATCGCATTGTTCACATCACCTTGTGACTCCCAATATGATTTTTTCCCTGGCATTACTACATAGCCACTTACAATTAGTATTGCTAAAAAACATTTCATTTCATTTTGGAAACCCTAGGATCGGGTGAGTTTTAAACAGAGCATAGCGAGACGTCTCCTCGATTAGATAAGTAATTATTTCGTCGTCCAAAAATAGCTCAAAAGTTGAACAGGTGAAAGATCCATATATTGTTTATAATTAGGTTCTGGAAAATCTCTTGTCTGCGCTTGAAGATCACCCCTAATCCAGCTGAAGTTTCTTTTAGACCTTGGAGTGTACAATGGAACCGAAGCTGAAGCACTGGTACTAGGAATATCCAGCTGTTTGGGCTCTGCAGTACTATTCGGGGTAGGATCTGGTTCTTCAGGCTCTGCATCAACGTTTCCTTTACTAAAAAATTTTACTTCGGCTCGGGCTCGCAGTTGTCTACCCGAAAGATTGTCTATTGTACCTCCAGAATCCTCATCTGCGGAGTCTTCATCCGTTAGAACATTGGCATCAGGTGGTTCTACGTAAATAGCGTCAATATCTTCCGAGTAGGCCATATCTAACGCCTCTTGCAAAGAAAAACCGCGCCTAAAAAAAACACTCCTTAAAAAACTGATAGTGCATTAGACTGGCGTTACCATACGGTAACACCAGTAAAAAACACCTCCTAGCCAAAAAATTCCAAGGCATGTAGTAAAACACAATATAACATACAAAAATATACATATTTATAAAATAAAATAGCATAGCAAACACTTACCACATGTCTAAAAACAAGGAATAAATACTTACTCAAAATTTATGTCCACCATTTTTCAAACCGTTGCGATATCGTCACAGTAAATTGTCGCCTTACACGTTCACTAACAAAAACCAAAACGATACTAAAATAATCATTACATGTCATTTCTTAAGCGCATACTTTGCGACATCTCGTCAAAAATTACGAAACTTCTAATGCAGTGGTTAAAGATGGACCCTATGTTTAACGTTACCATATGGTAACGCCAGTCCTTGACGGGTTAAGTTATTACATTAGAAACGTAATAAATAATATATTGCATGTCCTAACAAAAGTTTCGAGTGCGAAGCAAAAGCGTCTATTGTTTATGTATATTACGAGTATATATATTTTAAAAGGTATTTTTTAAAAATTTCTTAGTTTCATTTCTACTGTGTTTTTCTCATTTATCTCGAAAAAATAATTTTGGCACTTACCCCTTTGGTATTTCCACTCTTCAATTGTTAATTGTCATTTTAACAGAACGTCAACGGTTTTTATAGACGAATCTGTTAAAAAAAAAGAAAACTAAAGTGTTCTCGAATAGTTGCATTTAGATATTTTAAATAGTTTTTCTTTGTTCTTGGTGTTTTTTTGCTTCCGACGACGCGACGTGACGGGAAGAGATATACTTACCGAAACGTTAAACATTTTTTTGTTCGTTAGGCAAATTTGTTTATTAATAAACCACTGCTGACAATTAGTCTCCGTTGGATTAGAGCAGCAATTTTTACAAAAAATAACTATTTTATTTTGTAGATTTTCTTACAGTGGCGAAATACCCATAGGATTTTTTTGGAGAGATTATTCCGCCACAGTAGTATAGAATTTTTTAAAAAGGTATAGTATGAAAAATTTGACTACGTTTGAATCCAACCGGCTTTGATGGTGATGAAAAATCAATATTAAAACTTAACTTCAGGTGGCTAATTTGGATTCACTATTGGAAAATTAAAATGATTCAAACATAGAAAATAAATACTAAAA